ACAGGCTATGTTGATTGATGTGGCCTAGCCTTCTATGCCACAACTGGGCCACTTCTTCGAATTGCACAACACAGATGCAGAAGAGAGGGTCGTTCATGATGTAACGATACAAGCCAGTGCTCTTATCTCAAACCCCTTTGCCAACAATCTCCTATGGCTCATTGTAAATTAAACATTGTTTTTTTTTTATCAAACACGATTATAAAACCTTTATCAACCAAGCAACCAACGAAAAGGAGATTGCTTATAAGCCCCGATACGTAATAAATGTTATTTAGCTTTATTTCACTCAAATCGGAGAGGTGTACAGTGCTGGTCCCTTCTACGAGTAGTACATGACCAGAAGCAGTTTGCATGGCATAAGTCCATGTGTCGGTGCTGTGTTCTAAGGTGTTAAACACCTCGCGACTGCTAGTGACTTGTTTAGTAGCGCCATTATCGACTATCCAGTTTTCTTCCTGTTCTAGATCCATGTGGCAGAGAGCAACATCGAAGAGATTTGATGCTTGGAGTTGGGACGTTAATATCGGTTCTGCGAATTCGTCGATCACGAGAATAGAGTGGAAAGCCGAGGAGTTGTTGTAATTGTTGGAAACCTGTCCATCGCGCCTGTCTCGATTGTGACAATCTCTAGCTCGTCTGGCCATTTTGCGGGCTAGCTTAGGGCAGTTTTGCATGAAGTGATTCTCCTCTCCACAGAAGTTGCATTAAAGAGGCTCATAATTCCGTTTGGGACTAGGATTGTAAGGACGTCGGTGAAGACTACCGAAAATGATGGTCTACGTGAAGTCCGTCGGCAGGAAGGAAAAGATTCTGCATGTGGACTGCGAGAGCATCTTCCCTAGTGGTGGTCGTACTCCGAAGTTGGGCACAAGATTTTGCTTGCAGAAGTCGAGCTGTAAGGTCGACGAAAGACGGCATGGTGTTTAGTCCAAGAACGTTTTGGTACACACTATCCATACTGGGAGGAAGTGTATTCATGATCCTTTCTACAAGTTCCACGTCTGGAACCGGGTCGCCAATTCCAAGTTCAGATTGAATCTGGTGGATTTGACAAATGAAGTCTCGAACTGAGGCTCCCTCCGTTAGACGTATGGATCGAAGTTTGTCTTTGAGAATCAATTTACCAGCATTGCTATGTTGTTGATAAAGTTGAGCGAGTAAGGTCCAAGCTATGATGGAATCGGTACACTCGGAGATTTTTAAGAAAACATTTTCTTTAACCGACATGAAGATTGAGTGGAGATCCTTGACCCTTTTGACAACGACGTTCCGGGCTTCTCCCAGTTGGAGAGGATTTCCTCTATCGACGTATCGCCACTTGCACTCTTTCATGAGCAGAAGCTTCATTCGTACCTTCCACATCTGGTAGTTCATTCTATCGAGCTTGAACGGCTTGGGAAGAGAATTTTTTGCTATCGAAGTTCACACTACTAGCATTCTAAGAATCGACTTAACACTAGTCACACAGACCGTCCAACACTCTAACTCTTTCAACACTTGATCGCGTGTGCATCTAGCTATAAAGAAAATAGAGATGACTGTTCAATTTGGACTGTGGTCCAAAGAAAAAAAGACGGTCATTGTTACTGGCACATACCCTGTGCAAGAAAGACGGCCCCTTGAGCTTTGATACCATATAGAAATCAATAGTAACTTAACAAAATGTGTCCAACCACACAAGTAGGTGTTTCTGTTTGTATTAGCAAATATATAGGTGATCACATGAGGTAGTTAGTAGTTATGGTACTAACAAGATTGTAGAGTGGTAACAAAACTGGATCTTATTGTCGCTTCCAACAGAAAACAACTTAAAATGTTTAATTAACCGAAAGAGCAGTTCACAAAACATGCACACAGCATGACAAGCTGCAAGCTTCAACAATGCAAGAGGCAAAATCCTTTTCCAATTCGAGACTTTCTGGGGGTTATTTCAGGTTTCTTCGTCTCTTGCTCGTTGATCTCATAGCCCACCAATTCCATAGTGTCAAAAGAGCCATCACGGTTTTGTAACTGGAAAGTTTGCAATTATTGCTCCGATATGGATCATCTCACAACCTTGTGGATGGAACCACAAGCTCTTTTTTATCTTCCAAAACAATGTCCGAGCAAATTCGATGATTCTCTTTGCACCATTCAAAGCAGACACTTCAACCAAACAACCATTTTTTATTTATTTATTTAGCATGAACAAAAGGTGTAGGATATTATTATTGACACTATAGTATTTGTTAATGCCACCACAACCTTCCATCCTATATAGTCAATCCACACCTTTTGTTCATGCTAAATAAATAAAAAAATGTTTTTTAATTATTTATTTATTTATTTATTTATTTATTATTTTTGAAATAAGAATAAGTTTTTTAGACTTAAATTCCTAATAATTTCTTTTATTCTTATTAAACTTGTAAATGCTTTTTTATTTAAAAAATTATATAATTTTAATTTTCTTTATTTAAGTAATACTTTCATATCCTGGAGATGATATTATTGAATGCATATAATTTTGATGAAAGGATTTATTATTGATAATAAATTGTATTTAAGTTCACTAACTCTCGGTTTTTTTAAGTAGATTTCCTATTACAAAGGTTGACGAAATTAGACTTCATTTGCCAAGCTTCTATCAAAAATCTTGATATTGATTTCATTACTCCATTAGTTTTATTTATTTTTATTTATTTTTTATTGCAAGCCGGTAAGCTTTTTATTTCATTTTTGGTATGAGATAAAAATCTAACTGTATAGAGGTAATTCTAATTCCCACTTGCATTCAAATTAATAATAACTTTTTTCACATCACATTCATGTATCATATGTGTCAATTTTGTGCTGCTGTATTGACTACTTTTTAACAAGTCCATGCAATTTTTATATATCTAATTATAGTGTTTTGCATCAAGGAAAATTTGTAGTGAGATTCAACCTAAATTTCAAGCATAAATGCTAATTCCTTAAAATTGAGGCTTTTTCACCACTATTCTACATTTTTATTTTCATTACTAACTTGAATCAATAATGAAATTAAAAAATTTACTATATTATTTTTTAATTTTTAATTTTGTACATTAGTTGAATTTTGTTCTGAAATTTATGAAATAAAATAAAATGATAGTCAGTTCCTAATATCTTAAACAATGTTACCATTACACTCCTGTTTTAACATCTTTCATTCTCAAGTTATTTTCACTATTTGTTTATGTTAAGTTTTATATCATTCCTGATTTTTAAGGATAGTTTAACTTTTTCATAATTCTGAACAATATTCTAACCAATTTTCCCTGTGAATTATTTTTTATTATTTTAAAATTTTAAAATCTTGATCCTTTAAGATTTCTTCCACCTTATACTCTAAATGTTATTCCATGAGTATCAATGGTGGTCAAATTTCTTATTAGGACTCTGGCCACATTGCATATTTATTATTATTATTATTATTATAATGCTGATTAAGGCAAAGAGTATTGCACAGGTTATAGTCTGGGCCAAAAGTTCTAACCAATACGCATATTAAAATACTTAATTCGCAATTAAATAATTGATTTATAGAACATTTATCATTATGATTTGGTTCTCATTTATTAACACTCTTTAATACATTTGAATTTTAAGTTACCATATTTCAGCATTAATTTCTAACTTTAAAATACAAGTTTTTTCTCTTTTCTTTTTCATTTCTTCAATGAAAGGATATTCTCCTTTAATATATGCGTATGATTTTTAGTTATTTAACTGTTATTACTAACTCACATTTAATATCTCAATACATTGTGATATGATAAAAAAATTATTATATAGGTTTCAAAAACAATGAAAACATTTATTCAATTTAAAATCTTTCCAAAGACATATATAGTTTCATTTGTACATGATTAAAAGAACATATATTGAGTTTCAAACATGTCTAGATGTGATGTTGAGTTATTATTACTTTTAAAATCAATAATTATAGGTAATAAAAAATTATTGTCCAATTGTATTTAATTTTTCCATTGCAATTTTATTTAGGGGAATGTTAAAAAGACCCATGCTTTGACTAATTAGATCCACCCCTTGATGAAGAATATGATAACCATGATGTATGTGGTTGGTTTTTATTAGTTGGAGATCCAATAGCACAAAAATGAATCTAGAGGTTATTTTCTTTTTCTTTTTATGATGATTTGAAGGAGTGGATTGATCTAGTAAAAACTTGGGTCTATTTAACATTCCTTTTTATTTATAATTTTTTTTTTTTTTTTTAATATCACCACATTTTTTTTGTCCTTATTTAAAATCCACAAAAACTACAAAAAAAAAAAAAAAAAAAAAATTATACTAAATATATGTGATGCATTTTTATTTTTTAAAATATTTTTAAAAATAAAAGTAAAAATAGATAGTAATTCTTATTTTTCCATTATTCATCAATTGTACAAAAAACACTATATATATATATATATATATATATATATATATATGTATATATTAATATTTATATATATTTTTGTAAGGAACTTTTAACACTACTAACTTGCAAACAAATGGATTATATTCAATGATGAAGTTTTCAAATTTTAAAAATAATAAACTGAAAATGTTATATATATATATATATATATATATATATACTTTCTACAACCAAAAAATCACAACATTTTTAATCTAAAATTTTAAACAATATCTATATATATATATATATATATATATTTTAAGTTTATGAAAAATAAAATAAAAGAAGCTATGTAAGTAATTAGTATGTACATACTTTTATTGTCATGTTTGTATTTATAATCAATTATGTTTTATAATGATTATTTTCAAGAAGTTCCTTCCAAGTTTTAATATAAAGAGATGAAGAATCCCAGAATTCATCCAAGCTGACGACATCCAATACGACGTCATCCAGAGGATGAAGACGGTCCACGGATGTACACATGAAATTATCTAGAGGATGTAGAATAAATGTTTTCGTTCGTTGGGACGGGGGGGGGGGGGTAGGGGATGCATTTCCTCCTGCTTCTCCCCAAGCTGCTTCGAGTGATTGTTGTTGAGAGCTGTTGGTGGTTGTGGTGGCGTCTGGTTGCTGCTCCGTCGCAATGGCAGCGCAGTGCTCGTGGAAGCGCAAGCTGAGTTGGGATGTAGGCGGAGCTGGAGGTCAGGAATGATTTTTTTTGTAGTGTTGGGGGTGGTGGTGCTAGGGTTTGAGAGAGAGAGAATTCATGGTGAGAAAGCCAACGTGGTGTGCTGGTGGGGCCTGTGAGAGAGGAGGAGGGACGGTAACGGCAATGGGGACGTGGTGGCACGATTGGAGGCGTTGTTGGGTTGTTGTGGGTCGGAATTGGGCTTAGGTTTTTTGTGTTTTACCAAACCTTTAGTTGGTGGCTCTGTTTTGTCGGTGTGTTGGTGGCGTGGGAGAGCGTGGTGAAGACGAGAAGTGAGTTGTAGTCATGTTCTAGTCGTTTTGGATTGAGGAATTATGCACGACCGTAGCCAACATGGCTTGGTTTAGAGAGATTTTGATGATCTCGGCAATCGGTTCTTGATGTTGATTTGTTTAGGCAAGGGCTGTAATATCGAAAGGAGACTTCTGTTTCGAGGCGGCTACAGCTGGGTTGACATGTGGTCTTTCTCTTTGGAATAGTTTTATGAGTTAGTTAGTTTTGAGAATGGGGGGCGACTTGCCAAAGCGCGGTAGATGATGTTTCTTGTAGTGTGGGGACTTTTCGTTGGGAACGTAAGCGCCCTAATCGACAACGTCGTCGCACTGCCTGCCTGCGGGGAATTAAATAACTTGGACTACTACAAGTGCAACTCGGTTCAGAGTTCGAGGTGAGACTCCGCTTCTGACCTGTAGTTTTTATTTGTTTGTTTTTTTTTCTGAAAGCAGCCATTCCTGTGGACTGGCATTAGTGTTCTGTCACTAGTCACTTTAAGCTGTTACTGCCGATTTCGATGCATAAAACGGAGCCGAGAGTTTGAAGAATTTTTCACGCCTTGCACATTTCCTCGGTATACTGTGAAGAAGTGCTCGTTCCCCCGCTTTATGGCCTTCAGGTTTATCGAGCTTAGGCTTTGTGTCGTTGAAGTGATGTAGTTTTAATTCACCGGGGCTCTTGTTGTCTGCTTGCTGTTACAGGCCGCTCTAGATACCTCGTTTCCTTACAGCAAGAAAGTGTAATAAAATTTCTGAAGTACTCTTTAATTTATTTTAAAAAATGGCCATCTTTGTCTTTTCCTCGCTCCGTTTGCTATTTGATTTGGCGGGGGGGGGGGGGTCCTTTGATCTCTTATTTGAGCCGCTCCTGTAGGAGTGTATCGATTAGTCTGAAGCATTTCATTCGCTCATGAGTTGCTTACAGGTTATTGGGCGAGTTACACATGCGCTTACAACATTACGTAGAGGGATGTCATGAATGTTGCTAGCATATGTGGCGGTTCACGTCGGCAGCACAACCTCTTTGCCAGCGCAGGATTTAATGTTTCTACCTCGAATTCCAATTCTGGATGGTATAGTGGAAGATGGGCACATTCGTAACCGAGGCAGCATCAGAAGAATCTATGGCAGAGGAGATGGTGAAAAATAATGAAGACAATCATTCCATGAGAACGAAAGGTGGTAGTGGAGGTGAGCCTGGATCTAGAAGTGGTCAAGAAGATGCGCCGCTGGATGGGCAAAATCTGAGTGAGACTTTGGCATTAAGGTCAGCTGAGAATAAAAAAGTTGAAGAAGATCAGGAAAGTTTAAATAATCGGAGCAATAAATCTGGTGAACCAGACTATGCTCACAAGAGCAATGGGAATCCTGATTCTCAGGTTTATGGAAACGGGGATGGAGATTTGCCGTCGTTTTCTATTAAAAGACTAAGAAGGCTGCCACATCGAGTTAGTCCTGATAATCATCCGAGCACTTTGGCTTTTAGAACCGAGCCAACTGACGTCTTAATGGATCAGAATTGTGTAGATGATGATAAGGAGGCAAAACTAGGTGTGGGTGAAAGCATGACGGACACTACACTAGGGAGAAAACTTGAAGCTGGATTTGTTTGCCCTTTGTCGTTGCAGGCGGAAGAGACTACTGAACAAGTTCAGGCTCTTTCTGACTCCAGCTTGGTTGACGCTGCCCACTTCAGTGGGGATTCAGCACGTACACCCGAGCTTATATCGAGGATTTCTGACACTTTCAGTAGTAAAGATGAAATAGTAGGTACATCGGAAGGCTCATTAGAAGTTCCGGAAGAGGGCACAAGCTCAAGTGATTCGCCTGGTGCACAAAACCGAAAGATTGAGGGCAGTGAGTTAGAGGTAGAGCATAGTAAGTTTGGATATGATGGAACTGAGCTCCGGAATCCCAATAGTGGTGAGTCGGACCGTGCAGGGGAATCTCTTATTTCTGATCTTTCAGACGAACGCGATACAAACGATCTTTCGGTGGAAAGGAAGGAATATGCAGAACCTGCTTTAGACCAAGAAAGATCTGGAGAAAATAAGCATGCTTTTGCAAGTTCTGAACATGCATCAGACAATACAAATCCATTAGGAGAGATTGAGAGGTGGAGAACCGTGTTTCCTTCCTACGTTCCAAACTTCAATGTTGAACACTCCGCATTTGGGTTGCAAGCTGATGATTATGGTCAGGAGGATCAAGCACCTGGAAATTCAGATATATTGTCGTCATCTGCTGGACTAGGTAGTATGTCCGAAAAGTCCTGCGTGGATGTTGACTTGGCAGCGACACCCATGGAGGATCTAACACCAGGTATGTCCACATTAAGATTTGCACATATGTAGGTGTCATTATTTATGAAGTTTTTTTTTTTTTTTTTTTTTTTTTTTTTTTTTTTTTTTTTTTGGTTGTTTGTTTGTTTGTTTGTTTGTTTATTTGTTTATTTTTTCTGTTTTTTTTTACTCATCAGAGTGAGTTACTGATCACAAATATGCGTTTTTATGTTTTGTTTGTTTGTTTTTGTAAAAAAAATAAGTTTAAGCATCATAAAAATAAAACATCGAATTTAAAAATTTATATTTAAATATATACGAACAATATATATCTAAATAAAATCTTGCTTTGTTACCGTTTATGGTTTTTTTTTCTTGTGATTGATGTGCAATCGCAGATGATAATTATGATGACTTTAGGATTGTGATGTATTTTGTTTTTGCGTTGATCCAGACGGACGGGCAGAAAATGGAGCATTTCTGGACGCGGGCACTACTGCAGAGTCAACCCACTCAGCTGAGATACCTGCCCCCGGCGTTGTACAAATTCTGGCCCCAGTAATAGGGAGTAGATTTGAGCATCCAGGAGAGACTACTGATGAAGAGATCGACTCACCGAGGAGCAGCGAAGGGTTTGCTTATCCTGACTCTGATGCAACGACGCTTCTATATTCTGGGCAAGTAATGCATCCTGGGCGCTATTCTTATGGACAGTCACAGAATGGGCCGAGTATACTTCAATATTCCGGAAGCATGTCACTCCGGTCTGACAGCAGCACCACAAGCAATCGATCTTTTGTTTTTCCAATGTAAGGAGGTAACCAGATGGAGCTCTTGAAATTGTGTGATGTTGGTTGCGCCTTTCAAATATGTAATTACATTTCTATGTATTAATCCTGAAATGGATTTGCAGGAATAATCAGACCAAAACAACACAAAAACTCATTTTCATTTTAATGACCTGACGTGTTCATGTGGGCTAGTAATGGCTTTTACACCAATTATTCTTTTCATGCCAGATGGAGGCTGCAAAGCATTATGTCTTTTTATCTTTAGTATTCAACTTGTAGAAAGAGCTCAGCAGATGATTTTTCTTTCAAGTTTTCTCATGTTCTCCCCATTTCTTATTTGGAGGGAACAGTTTGTAGCATGCTGGACCTCATTCTTTATTCAAAGAACTGATCATTGTTAGCTTGAGCTGACGCATCTTTTTGCTACGCAGCTTGGCGCCTCCAGATTATAATAGCAGCCCAGTTAGAATGGCTAAACCTGACCCTCGGTATCTAAAGAAGAAAAATCGAATAAGTGGTTGCTGTTTCTTCAGATTATGTCGATCAAGACATAAGTATTAGATGGGTTTTGTTTTTTTACCTCATTATTCAGAGGTATGACAGCTTTCGAACATCTCTTTGCCCTCACTTGTGTCGCCTACTGTTCCTTTCAACCCTCTAGCAAATTATGGGAGGAGCATTTGAATTTGGGTACCACAGGTGAATTGCCATTTCGAAGGTGCATTTCTGATACGCACTATTCAACATTAGGAGCGAGTGTTTCATGAGTTTTGTCATTTGGTTCTACGTAGATAGTATTTCCACAACGGGGTCTTAAGTGACTTATCATTTCAATCTGAACTGTGATTTTTGTTTTGCAGGTACGTTTTGAGGTGTACTTGTAGCATCTTTGCTTTATGCACAACGTGCTTGTTCAGCAATAAAGTGGGTAAGGACCCAAACAAAGGCTTACGTTGTATACTATTGGTGGCAGCCAGTTTTTCAAGGAGCCTAGAGTAGTGTTCGTAATAACTCTGGATTTGGCTTTAACGCAGTCCTGGATAGCTCTCTGCCCCTGAGCGATGCAGAGATAATGGTTTTAATACCCCTAAATGTACCATATTTAATTTGTAATCAACTGTGATGGGTAAATCTAGCACCCTCAAATCTCAATCACATCTTTGATTCGGAATCCTCAAACTTCACTATCGTGTTATGTAGCAATTTATGTGTCAAAGTGATAGTTCAGGGCTAGTTATGAGTTTAAGTCGGAAAATTTGTGTGTTCTTCAATACTATGATTCCTGGGATACGCCAGAATGTTGTATTAGAGGGTGTAATAATAGGAAGGTCAGTGTATTGCACACACCGATTTATGCGTGTCTATCGTATGCTGTTATTGAATTTATTCATCAGCTTTTGGAACATGTCTCAGCTTTTGTATGTGTTTTAGAACACGTATGCTTGAGGAGGAGCGCTCAGAGATTAGCTGTGCAAGAAGAGTTGTGAGAAAACATCCTGCATTCTTCTGTGATCTTCAGAGAGTATGAGAGTATTTCCGAATTGATTATTAAGGATGAAGGTCTCCATACTTCTCCCATGCCACACTGCTCTGTTAAGAAATTAAAGCTGACGACCAACTTCCATGGGTTTTGTGAATTGGAAGTTAAAGCAATTGACTCCAGTTGGTAAAGAAGATTTAAAAACAGTTGTTTACTTTACCAACTTTGCAATATTCTCATAGATTCAATTCACCGAGTAATAAGGTTCAAATTATTTTCTATACATGCATGCTTACTAATTAACAATACAACTTCTCCTAAGTTATCATGGCATATTAAAAAATACATAACTTTTTACAAAAAAATTGGTTACATTTCTAGAATAATAATCCATATCATCCAATTGATACTGTATGATCTATTTCAAAAACACAATTTAATTTGATTGTTTTAAATCATTTTTATTCTATTTTTTGCACTACATGTTTTGATGCATTGATAGTTTTGCCCACACACCCATGTATGTATATATATAGGAATGTTAATCAATAAAAATCAAAACTATTTCAACCATCAATCATCTTCTCCTTGATATAATACACCACCACCACCCTCCTGCTGCTACTCAACCCTGGACATTACCAGAACTGGAATAAAAAAAAAAACAAATAAAAAGAAGGGCGGGGGGGGGTGTGCATCGGAGGATGCGGAGATACCGAGACGATGCAGTGTGTCGAAGTATGGATCGATCGATCGATGTGCAATCATGCAGATTGCTGCAGTGTGCTAGTTAATTAGTGGTGCGGCGATGGCGTCCCTCACTTTCTAACAATCAAATAAATCAATCAAGCAAGCGAGTGAGTGAGTGAGTGAGGAAGGAAGTCAGCGAGCAGGGTTGCAGGAGGACGATGATGGATCAGAGTTTGTTAGATGATGAGCATCTGCATCGCTAATTCTGCGCAGCCAAGGAACTCCACCAGGCCGTGAGATCCAAAAAGTGATTCCAGGTGGGTGCCAATCTTCGCCTCGTCCCCCCACGGCGGCCAAGTGTGAGCAACCTGCACACATCATCGTTTTTCCTGCAATCCCTGCTCCCCACGACGCTTGCTTTCTAGATCTGACCTACACTCTCTACATGCCTCGTCCAAAATCTCGGCCATTCACACGAATCTCCTCACGACACCTAACATGGGGATTTCATCTCGAAACTCGTTTTGCGAGTGTATATTATATGAGGTTAGCGGTCCCACGAATTATCAATTGTACCATTCAGCACAAGCGTAGAAGTATCAGCGTTGTTAAGAGAGATCCATGAGAGTTTGTTGAATATTGTGTGGAATTCTGTAGTGTTTTTTGGGGAGCAGAAGTTGAGGACGAGATGGCCATCGGCATGAGCGCTGCAACTATGATGGTGACTCCTTCCACCAAGCTGTCCTTCGGCAGCTCCGTCGCCTTCAACAGCAACGGGTCCTTGAGGATAAACATGATACCGTCCAGGCAGTCTGCCCGGCCACTCACCATCCGCGCAGCTGGAGAACCCAGCACTGGGAAGGACGAGAGGGTAATGGCCCATCCCGGCTGCAGCATTTGGATTGCATTGGTCCGATCTTTCAATATATTCGCCCCGCGCGCTTCTGATGTGAGGTAACTGAATTGTGTAACTCTGGTTTTATGGTTGCAGAATTTAGGTGACAAGTTTAACGACGCCGTGATCGACATCTCCAACAAGGTCCAGGACGCGATGCCCGCCGGCACCCAGCCAGGAGGTGTTGGAAGGAAGCCCGGAGATGAGTGGACTCAGTACAGTTCCACCGGCGAGCTCAACCAGTCCAAGAAGGAGGCAGCTGAGAGGGACAACCCCGACAATCTGCCTGTCATGGTGCATCCTCCCCTTCTTTTCTTTTTTTGTTATTTTTATTTTAATTTTTCTAAAGCTGTATATGCATAGTATTAGAATTTTGCGATCTGTTCTGAATCTGTGAATCTTGACAGGAAAAGCTGCAAGACGCCGGAAGGACTTTGAAGAGCAAGACGAACGATGTGGTGCAGTACGGCAAGAAGCGCAACCCCAACACCACGGAAGACAATGCCACGGAGAAGAACATCCAGGCTCAGTCGGATTACACCAAGAACCTGTAAATTGGAACGAGTTAGGGTGTAAGGAGTGTATAGTATTCTCGAAATCCTAGTGTGGATTGCTATCTTGTTCTAATCCCCACCTAATCTGTTCTCGGAAGAGGTGTATGCTTTGAGATTTGTCGATGTCCCTGTCTGTGCGAAAGCTACGACTCGGAAGTTTATGAAATACAAATTAGATTTCGACAGTCATGTTGTTAGAAATATTGTCGCGGACATAGAGTGATGGAATTTGTATATTCAGAATTAGAATTAGATTTTGTATAACCGGATTTTATTCCTTCGGCTTTATGAAGGAGTCATAACTACTGTATTTTGGGAAAAATTAGGGCATGCTAGCTGCCATGTTTAGCTTCCAAGCATGCCTACATCCTAAAAGCTTTTACAAGTTGTTTTCACAACTACGATTTGAGTCTAAATCACACCTTTGAATATCACCATCTCCTGAAGCATCAAATGGAATTCTTTGCTGGTTTGTCGCATTGAGCTTCTGTATCTGGCAGTCGTATGCAATTGTAAGCCAAAATTCCTACAAGTGCGCCGATTATTGGACCTGCAATGTATACCCAGATACTTCGATAGTTACCCGAAGCAACAGCTGGACCCAGTGACCGTGCTGGATTCATCGACGCACCAGATATAGGCCTGTGCATAACGATATGCACATTAACTTTCAGTATTACAATAAAGTGCCACAAATTGTGTTTAGTGTACCACACTTAATCAAAACGACGAGTAAAAAAATAAAAGCATAAATGGAATGTATGGAAAAAGACACGTTGGGAAGATGACGCATTACCCAGCCATAAGCGCATTTAGAGCGACACAAGAGCCTACGGCAATCCCAGCCAATTCTCCTCGCTGATACCAATCACAACACAATTTGAGTAAAATTTAGGGCATAGACGGTATTATGACACCTGCTAGAAACGATAATGTACTATGAAAATCAAAAAATATATGCAATGATATCTGGAGGAGGAATTGGAATTTTCTTTTACAGCTCTTGTGTCGGTTGCGACAGCAGCAACGACGAACATCAAAATGAATGTGATGACAATCTCTAGCAGGAACGATTGAATGTCACTGCCAGCAGGTATAGTGGCCCCTTCGGAAGCCGCAGGATGGAGAATCCAACGTAGTAGGAACGACGCAAAAACGGAACCCCCACACTGTGCAACTATATACATCGGAACCTGGAAAATTCACACGAGAATTAGGGGTTTGAATTTCACACAAAATTTTAGAGCAAGGATGATGATCAGCATCTGGAGAATGTCGCTAATCTTTGGATTTCATGAGTTCATGATCCTAAGCACGCGAGGACGACGAAGAATTCTCAAGGGGTTAAGTTTTTATGCGAATTGACAAGTCCTTGTTTCACCATTAACCTGGGTCCATGGGAAGTGTTTGGCGATGGCGAAGGCCAGCGTCACTGCCGGATTCATGTGAGCACCAGAAATATGGCCTACAGCATAGATCATGATCGTGATAACGAGTCCGAAAACCAGAGAAATCCCCACGGGGGTCACTTTCCCATTGCTGATGGCATTCACCATAACTGCCCCGCATCCGGTGAATACGAGAATGAAGGTACTAATCACCTCCGCCACTAGCTGCGCGCAAAGCCACCACATCTGAGAACTGAATGCGTGCGCCATGGTGACTATGAATTTTGCAAACAGAAATCGAGGCTGTCAAAGTCCACACATTTGTGTATATATATTTATATGTATACATTTTTTTTTTTTAAGAGAATATCTAGCGGCTTGAGGGCAACACCTTCTTTTGCAGCGTAACACTTGGCCAGTGCAATGAGACGGCAACATTGTAAGGACTCGCAGGTGTGGTTCCTTGGACAACCACGAGAGGCTCGTCACCATTCCTGCTGGGGTCCTGCGTAACTTTGTTGCCCAGTGTCACCGTTGGATATTCTTCTGCCGAGAGAGATGCGGGCATGCGGAGCTTAATCTCTGCCATTTTGTGGACTTAATGCGGACTTCCGGGTGGAAAACTTGGAGGGTTCTGTCTAGAGTATGTGGCTATCGGTTCAAAAGGATCCTCCTCTGCAAAAGCTTCCGTTACATCATGATCGATGACGAGACGCAGTCATTGTCACTGATTGTGAGCACAAGGGTCAATCATACCAACTCACAATACCTGCAGGGAAGGGAATGGAACTCAGACTTAGAAATCCATTAAGAGCACCGAGTGCTAAGACAATCTAGGCTAAACCGTCGGGCAGGAACGTATCGATGTAGAGGAGGACTGCGAGATATAAAATTTCAACTACGACTCGCACACAATAGGACTTTCTATATAGCTGTCCCTACATCTCTATCAGGTGCGAGTGACACCAGCGAAAGTGTCTAAAGCTCACGTCAGACATCGCTAGCTGATTGACTGATTGAATGACACACACACACGCACATACACAAACACTGAAGCTCTGATCCGTGCGAGGGGTTTAGATGTGACTAGTGAGACATGCAGCGTTCGTTGCCAACTTGTACTGATCGGTGTAAGGTAGAGCCTCCCCGGAGAAAATCTGATCGCTGCACACGAGCTGCAACTTGCGCAAGCAACCGCGTTTCATTGCTCAACCATCATAAATACCGGTTTGACTCGGAAGCTGTACAGCACGCACCTTTGCTATCATCTCTCTCTTCCTACGTTGCGGACCCCAAACAAAAACTCAAACTTCGAGACCAACTGTGCCCACGACTACTGCCAGGCACAGACGTCACTGGTGTGATGAGAGACTTTCCCAGCATCCGGAAGCAAGATGATGTTGGCGTCATCACTCCAACGACGACAACCACGCTTGGAAGCCTCTTCTTTCCCTTACATGCCGCTGCACTTCCAGTCAGTCTCTGCACTGTCACTGCAGTATCCAGTGGACGAATTAATGCATGGTTGGATCCTATCACTGCACAAGATGCGACAGCTCCTAGCTAGCATCCTGTAACTTAATCAGGGCTAATTGAATGGGTAGAACCCACAAGCCGAAACAGCAAAAGCGCATTAAGGCTAGTCGCAGCAAGTTGACAGTACGTCGTAAGCACACAGCAAGATGTCCTGTTTTCGATGCACGAGTAAATCTTATTCACTTGGATTTCAACATACAGTGTAAGTACAATTGAAAAAGGAGGGAGGAGGAAATGATCATGGTGGTTGGCGGTGCTGGTGAATGCCGCAATCGAATGGACAATTACAAAGGGGCAGCCCCACATGCTGACAAGCTTTCAATGATCCCATTCAATGGCACTGGACTTGCTCCCCCTCTCGCCAGCTCCTCCTCGCCACCACCACCCTTGCGCGTGTGGGGCCCTTTCATCGCCGCTGTCCCACATTCTCCACGTTTCTTACACAAAAATTACCTTAAACCACCAAAAGATGGCACACACAAGAATTGCAAAAAGTACTGTCTGGGTTGGTGATTCGAATCCATCTGTGAAATCTCAACCATTGATGAAACCTTTCCCAAGATGTTTGATAGACCCAAGCACAAGGTTGCTCTTCTTGTGGAGTACCTAAACAAGAAACATTGATTTACTGCAATCCAACTAAATTGTGTATAAATATTTTATGTTTCTTCTCACATGCAATCTTATTACATATATACAAATGTGCCTAAATATCGTGAGTAAAAACTAGTTTATTTTTTAAAAAATCTCTCTATTTTTCTCCACAATCACATCAACCACCTCAAGTTCTTGACGAGTAGCACATTACAGTTAGAGTTTATCTTACTAACCTTTTGTGCAAAGATTAAAAAACAAAAGCCATGACATTCACTTCACGAATCTATGAATTATTCTATCATATATCGCTGCTGCTCGTCGGTGTCGAGGTCAACGTTGATTCTGACGAGGACTATTCTTCCTCACTGGCAATAAAACTAGTTTGCAGTGTATCCTCTAGAAATTGTCTAACAGCATAACCTTCAACTACATTTTGTTTTCATAGTTTGAAACTCAACATGGCAGATCAATGTGACGTCTTACAGATCCTTCGTTGCGGCAGCTTCTGACACTGGAGATGAAATGGAAAAAGAAAAGATAACAAAAGAAAATCGAAATAAAAAAGAACCTCTCAAGATTGTGACAGCCAGATCGTCAACAGAAGTGAATCAATACCTGACAATATCAGCGGCAATGCTATCATCCAAAAACGTAGGAGTTTCTGGATTTCCTGGTAGTGACATGAACACTCTATTTAAGTACGTTCAGATCTACAACTCACAAGTGTGCTTAAGACTCGAGTCAAAAAAATTGATGAAGAATGAACAACAATGCAATTCTGGTTTCGAGAAACAAAACCAAATGAATTTCCTAAATGGAGTATTGACGTCCTCCACTATCACCGGGAAGTGAACGTCAAGTCAATTCGCAAAAGACATTTTGTTAACATTTTGTTTAGTAACGCGCATGTACGACACTCAATATCGATAGTGCACTGTAACCTAACGTGATAACTAAACATCAATATTTCACAGGACACCGAAAGCAGTGATGAGGTTGCACTACAGATAGGATTCACATGTAACGCGGAGACTGTACGTCGACCTGGCTGAGTTTGTTTCCAGGTGATTTCATCGTACACAGATTCGGCAGACTATATAAGGTGATGTATATTATTAGTGAACAGATTGAAGAAATCACGTATGCTTCAATGTTAGGGCATCGCAGGAGAAGCACGAAGCTGAATCAAAAATTCAAAACAAGCTAAAACAAACTCTTTCAATAACCCGACCTTCCTCGTTAGACACATCAATTGGAATGACGACCAGAAACCTCCACTTATAAATACACCTATATACCAGTAAAACTGCCGAACTAATTTACGGTCGAAAATTTACAACAAACTGCTTCAAAAACAAGTCAAAGGAAACTTCCATTGCAACCCAAAAATGAAGAACACCGTCAAATCATACACTTTCATGGCAAAACTCAAATAACCGAGTGAAACAAGTTCTAAAACACACGAAAACCATCGAACATCCACGGTAGTATGTCTCAGATTTACACAATATTACATCAAGAACCAGTAGAAGTTCAGCTTAGACAACATCGCACAAAAATAAATAAACGAAAAGTGTAACAGTTCTCTCAGGGTAAAAATCCCTGAGAGTCACAAATAAGAGCATAATTGAAGATTTGCAAAGGACGACAACGTGAGCGTCTACAGCTATTGGAAATAAGCTCTGCATCGAATCAGCAAAGTAAACCAAAATACTCAAACAATTTTTTTACGGAAATGATCAAAATAAAAACCTGAAGTTAATAACATCTTTCATAAGCCTATCACCCAACTTCAGAACAAGCCAAACTGAAGAAACAACATTCGTTGCTACATACATTCGAAATAGCCCACAGCTTCCTTCCGGAGAGCATGCTTGAACGTCACAAGTACAAAGAAAAGTGAGGAAAGATACTTCAACCAACTAGAGCGGAGCATCCGATGATCTGAAAGAAGGATGATCTTCGTGAACAAATTAATAAAAGATGGTACACGGGAGTGAGAGCACCATTACAGATTTCCTCAAATGATAGAAACGTAAGAGATATGCTTTTAAGCCTTGTCGACCTTCGATGCGGCGGTGGCAGCTTGACCACGCAGACGCCCCGTGCGCCTGGCAGCAATAAGACCAACCTTCTGCCCGGGAGGAGCGTCCCGACGCACTGTACTCGCGTGACCAATATGTTGGTGGTTACCTCCTCCGTGGGGATGCTCCACAGGGTTCATGGCCACACCTCTCACCTTCGGCCAGCTGTTTCTCTTCACCTTGTACTTGTGGTAAGCATTGCCAGCCTTCAACATTGGCTTCTCGGTCCTGCCTCCTCCGGCAACCTGTCCAACCATGGCCCTGCATCCGCTGGGCACAACCTTCTTCGCCCCTGACGGCAATTTGATACTGCATGCACAAAATCACACGTCAAACCCTAATTCTCCGCATCATTCCATTCCCGTCCCAAACCCTAATTCAGATCCCATTCTGACATAACCACCATTCACACCCCCACAAATTCCAATCACACTGCACAAAAACAACCCACCCGCTAATTGCACCCGACACATACCGAGTAGTTCCGCTGTCCACGTTGTGCGACACCACAATAGCGTAGTCACCAGACGCTCTCGCGAACGCGCCCCGATCACCCATACGATGCTCCACATTGCACACCACGGCTCCCTCGGGCACAGACCTCAGAGGCAGCACATTTCCAATAGACAAGGTCGCCTTCTTGCCACAGTAAACGAATTGACCAGAGTACATGCCCTCAGCAGCAATAAACCTCTCCTTCTGCCTTTTGAAGCGGAAAGGGTGACGGAAGGTGACCTTGCACAACGGAGCACCGCGGCCGGAGTCGTGAACGACCTCAGATACAACACCCTTGATGTAACCATTGCGCTCAGCATAGTCGAGGGAGCGGAACTGGGCGGGGCCTTTGCGACGGTGGGTGTGGCTCCGGAAGATAGAGCCAGCTCCCTTACGTTGAGCACGAATGACACGACCCATGGCTACTGTGGCGAAGCCCCCTTCTTCGCTGCAACTCTAGCTCGGTTGTGGAGCAGCAAAGCGAGAGCACGCACACTCGCAGCAGCACTGGGACTGCGAAAGGGAAAGAGCGCGGGCGCCCTCGCTGCCCTAAACCCGGCCACCAGCTCTTCTCCAAACCCTAACACTCAGCCCTGAACGACCCGACTCGTGGATGATATTTGACAGAGAATTCATCCACGGAATTCGTCATTCGTTCACATTTAGAGAAGTATTTTGAGGTGACGTTATAAAGAAGAGAAATAAATTGAGTAGATTGAGTGTGAAATTTACAATAGTGTTGCATTTTTTATAATGGTGTTAAATGATTATTGCAAAGGTTCGGAAAGTAAATTGATAAAGGGCTGTGTAACATTTTTGGTGTCTTAGGCTTCTCTTCAGGAAACATGCATAATAGGGCATTGTTTGAATTTGTACACATTGTGAAGGGCATTTCAATCTGAATGAACATGCTGGCTTTTATCACATACATGGAAATAAAGAAATAAATTACATTATAATTATCATGTTTGTGGTTTCAAAATTTGGAAATTTACTACCAACTCACGTTTTTTAAAATTATCTTGTTCTTTGATAGAATGTTATTTACAATTTGCATTAGGATTTAATTTACTCGTTCTTAAAAATACATATATATATATATATATATATATATTTATATTTATATCTTGAATTATTTTTTGAACGTTAAATTATAAACGATGTTGCAGTTTTAACATAATTTTATTTAACATGAAAGCTATCCTGTAGCACACTAAAATCTGTGAGCTTTTAAATATTTCAAAAAGAATTATATATGTAAAATTAGTTGGAATATTAAATTTTTATCACGTCATGTTTTTTCTAAAATTTCAGAAATTATATATATATATATATATATATATATATATATATATATATATTTTATAATTAATATTAAAAATAGATATTTTTGAGCACCAAATTTAGGTGCATTCTTTAAAAAAAAATCTTTTTACATATATTTTAATTTTTTTGGAACCGTACATGGTTTTTTTATTTTTATTTTTAATTTAAAAGTTCAAAGTCTTATCCTATAAAGTAGAATATTTGAATCAATAAGTAATGTTGATCAGATACTTAGATTGTTTTTTTAACTATTTTAAAAGAACTTTATATCTTAGTTGTTTAATGATTGTTATGATAGTATAAACTAATAGTGATGTAATCAATAGTATATACCAAAATAAAAACATTTGATGTTTAAATTGGATACATTAAATCAATACTTAAAAGCTATGAATACAAACCAACACTTGCATTCCATATTATTGAATTGAAGAAGATATGGCGCACAAATTTATAGAGCTATCCAAGAAATGCGGAGGTTTTTTGGTGTTGTAAGCAACATTGAACTTATTGACTTTATTATTGAGTTTGGAGCTTGGTGCAATGGCCAAGTTGAGAGGAAACTAGGATTCATTCCTTATAATATGTGGTAGATAGTCTTCTAATACTTTGAAGGTGCACCAATATATAACTACTCAAAGTTTTAGGTCAAACACAAAAAATAAATAAATAAATAAATAAATAAATAAAGTGCATAGTGATCATTAGATGCTAGATTTAAAAAAAAAAATTGGAAGACTAATGAAAATTAGAAGTCAAAGAGTTGGTAGTGGCACTTTGCTAATTAAAAAAAATGTAGACTATAGAGTGAAGATTGAAGGTAGAGAGGACTTAGAAAGAAATAAGGATAAAACCAAAATGGATGAGAAATAAAAATCTTTATTCAATCCTATTTAAAATTTCTTTCAGATGCTTCAATTGAACTACCAAGGCCAAAGGTTGCACAAGATATTAGAGCTTTAGCTATTTCAATTGAATTGGAAAAAAACTTATTATCATGGAAATATATATCTACTTCAATTATTACCTATATAATTAAATAGAAGTAGAAAAAAGTAGATTAATTTCATTATATCTTCTTGAAAAGCTTTTTAAAAGCTTCATAGATGTTGCTTTGACTTTATACAAAATTTTAGGTTAAAAACTTGATCAACAAGTTAGCCATGTATCACACTCTGAATCACTAAATTGACTTACTTGAATATTTAGTATAAAAATAAACTTTATATGCTTAAAATCATAGATTTTGTGAGTTAGCAGTAGAGTTTTAGAAAAAAAATAAAAAATAGATTAATAATAGCACACTTGCAACCTAAGATAGAGTTTAGTAAGAAAAATTCTTTAAAAAATATAGGTTTTTAGTTAGCTAATATTAGATGAAGGACCAAAGAAAATAGTCTCAATATACATATATATATATATATATATATATATATATATATATATATATTTCTTAAAACTTATTGTAGTTTTGGTGGCTGACAATGAAACTCATCTTGGTGATTAAGTTCTTTTTGTATCCGAAGAAGTTTAGGTTGCAGCAATTTGTGGCTATTTTATTTTGCTCGTGTATTTTACATAGAGCTTCTAAAATTGAACAAATATGCTTTGGTATATTTAATTTTTTTCTTATCTATGTATATTTTTTGGAAGATCACATTGTCTACAACTCATTGATTGTGGGATAATGAAGATGATTCTATTCTCATATTGACATGCTAGATGTTTTTCTTGTAATATGAACCAGTTCAATATTATTTTTTTCTTTTTTTCTTCTTCTCTTCAACTTATGTTGCATGTCCTTCATGAGATATGGTAGCAAATATCACTAAAGTTGGAATAGTGACAATAGATTATTGGTGTTTAACCTTCCTCTACAATATTGAAGAGCTTCTCATTTATTGCAAAAGTACTTTTTATGTTGCATAGAGCTTTGAATGTGACACTGGAATCTAGTTTTTTTTTTTAATATTGCCTTCAAAGAGAGCCAATATTATCTTCTTATAGTACAAGTAGTAGTACTAAACTTGATAAGTGGCTAGATAGTACTCGAGTCTTTTTGCCCATAGGATTTAAGTACAAGACTTCTATTTTAGTATAGAGAGTTGTGGTTGGGCCAAGCAATTTACCTTCATTGTGATCCAAACTTGATATTGATCACCTTAGAAGAGGCTCATAGTAATAGCAATGCTAGTTACATTACAAAGTGAAGCTGGTAGTGCTACAATCGGAGTTGCTACATTTATGTTACAATGCAACAAAGATTAGATAATTTGCTAATCACCAATTTGTTGAGAAATGCCACAAAAAAGGACTAACAGTTTGTAACAAGTAGAGGTTATTATATAGAGTTGTCATACTTAATTGATGGTGCTTGTTAGCACTTGAGGTATTGTTGGATCTTGGAATAAAGATGTTATAATTGGATCTTGTGGATAATAGATGAACTATTCAAGTTAGATTTATTGGAGTAGAAGAATGATGGTTGTTGTGTAGATTTCTTTGTGGATTCTTCTTATGATCTTTTAATGCAAGCTTTTTGATAACTTCTTTAATCACTCTTGAATGTATTGTCCATAGACAATGGTGCAAACGAATTTTTTTGACATTGAATTATTAAAATGTCTAAGTTTCTTGTACTTTTGCTAGGACTCTAATAAGCAGAATTCTAGTTTGAAAGATTCACAAATAAATAGTCTCAGCATATAACTGGGCATTTAAGTTTTGAAGAAATTATATTTATACTTACAAGAATCACTAACACTATGTTGAATACTAGAAATATAAGATAGTTTTAGATTTTGTTAGCCAAGATTCTAGGAACCAAAAATAAAAATGGAATAATTGTACAACATCTCATCTTCCTTTCTACTATTGAAAGTATCACCATTAGATCATTGTAATCTAGTTTAAGACTATCAGTTCAAATTCAAGCAAATTAAATTACATTGCTAGAAGAAACATCTTAATTAGTGGATTACATTCATGAGACTATACAATCTTGACGTCTCATCTTTTTCAAAGCAAAGTCAACATGCTCTAAGAGGCAGTATTAGACTTCATCACTAGATAGGAGAACCTACCATTATGACTTGGATGGAATATAAAACTTACACACTTGAAGGTTTTCTTAGCAAAGAAGCGCCTAGAGCAAGAATCCTTGTTCATTATTTGTTTTGACTAAAGAACATAAGGTGAATTTAAGCTCTTAGTCAATCAATGTATAAATAAAAAATTATGGCTTAATTGAAAAGAAAAGAAGGAAAGAATTTATAATTAAAAAAAAGATAAATAATTCAATTAAAGATGAACTTTTTTATAGATAAATAATAATAGATGATTGTACTTGGATGAATTGAAGCACATATAATAACTTATTTATGGATGAATTATTCTACTTGGATTTTTTTTTGGATGGATTAATTTTAATAATATATATATATATATTTTTTTTTATTTAATAAAAAATTAAATTTAATAAAAAAGATTTTTTTTTTAGATAATTAAGATAATTCTTGATTGCATGAATTTTGAAATGTTGTTTTATTGCAAGATTGAATTGATAGTAGAGTTGTCTATTTAGGTATTATAGAAGATTAAAGGTGATTCAATTAAGATTTAAATAAAAGTAGAAATTTTTAAGATTTATATCATTGATTTATTTATTATAAATTAAAATAAACTTCTAACTAGTAGAGTTTTATTTTAACTAACACACATGTCCAGATAGCTTATAGAATAAATTAACAATGTAGCATATATATGGAAAAATTACCTTGTAAATTAAGACATTTATGTAGCAAAGTCAACACATGTTGGACGTCTTATAAAACATTGCTTTGTAACTTTTAGTTAGATAGTATATATAGAGGCAAGAATAAAGCCTTTTTCATTCTTATTAATACTTTTTTAGTACTTAGTATTGTTCTAAGACTTCTTGATCTTCTTTTCTTTAGAAATAACTATTTTAATATAATATTATATCATCTTTAAGTGATTATTTAGTCTTTTCAAGTGACAAAAATAGTATTTTGATATTCTAGTTCTTTTAAGATTCATGTCCTTGACAATTTGATAAGAGTGCTAAATCATTGTTCTTGTCTTGTTTTTGAAGTGAGTAGATTATCTCACTTCTATCATTGTATTTTGAAGGTTGCAGACTACTAACCTTGAAACAAGTAATTCAATTTTTTAACACTATTTTTTTCCTTAAAAAAAGTAGATTA